TATCATATACATATGGTTGAGAATAAAAAAAAATATACATTAACCCTAGTCTCAATGAAAAAGTTTAGGAAGAAACCCTACCTCAATCCGATGTTTAAAGATAGCCTAGCGTGTTTGAATCAATCTCAATGCTATAATCCCTTTGAATTTTTTATTTTCTCATTCTCTCTTGCTCTATAGGGTTGCCTAGGGTTGAAAACTGATGAAACATGTCTAAAGGGAAGTCCTTATAGTATTTATAAGGTGAAAACAGAGGAAAACCCTAAAAATTGATCAAGGCCGTTTTTAGGGTGGTGCTCAGACGACGCCTGGGGGCCTCCGAATGGTTTCAAGTCTCTGATTTTTATGAAAAATAAGATTTCATGGTAGGGAGTGATGTCCGAACAGTGACCATCCGGACGGTACCAACTTTTTATCCCAAAATCAAGAGTAACTTTCACCTATTTAGAAGTTGATTCCAAAAATTATCATGAAATACACTTTTGTAGCTCTTGACGTCATGTTTCTACGGTCTAAAAATCATCTCAATTGAAGTTTGGAGTACAAATTTATGGCTGAAATATTAAGGTAGTGTCAAATTCCTTCCTACTCAAATTCTTTCTAAAATGTGTTTTAACTCCGAAATACTTTCTAACTTCTAATACACCCTATATTACATCTGCCAAAGTTTATCTATCTTACAGATTCAATGGAGGCCTTATTTTGGCCTAAAAACATTTATAAACTTACCTAACCACCCTTCTCAAGCTTAAACAACTCCAAAATTAAGTTTGACCCGAAAGTCAATTCGCTTGAGAATCAAACTTCATAATCAATCTTTTAACAATGATTCGAGGCTTTTACAATCCTTTTATTCATCTTAAGAAAAATATTAAGATGATATTAGTCTTATTTAATTGTAGAACAAGGTCTTACAACCTATGACAACCCACCCCAATTGTCAAGATATTGTCTACTTTGGGTGTCCATACACCCTCATGGTTTTTCCCTTGAAAAGACGTCAACAATTAAGAGTGAGCACACCACATATATAACCTAGTCACTCCCCCCTGAGTCGATGCGGGATGCAACACATGAAGTTATAGCACCTCCTCACCTTACCAAGTCTTTTAGCAGGTTACTGCACTCCACTCCTTTTAGAGGCCACGCATCCTCGCGAGGCCCACATGGGATCCACCCTACCCCCCACTGGCTGCAGGAGATTTGAATCTGATACCACTTGTAATGACCTCCCCCAACTGTCAAAATATTATCTACTTTGTGTGCCCACACACCTTCACAATTTTGTTCCTCTAGGGCTTCGCCCTAGAAAAGGCCTCTGACAATTAAGGGCGAGTACATCACATATATAGCCTAGTCACTTCCCCTCCTGAGTCAATGTGGGATGCAACACATGAAGCTATAGCACCTCCTCACCTTGCAAGGCCTTTTGGCAGGCTACTACAGCTTTATTTCAATTTCATGGCTCTGCTGGAGTTCATGAGTGTAAAAGAAGTTTGGAAAAATGTGTTTGTTTCTATCACCTTTTGATAAACCCTATTTTAATTTGTGCAATATAAGTAGCGTTATCTTTAGATAAGGTTGTTGGTGAATCTGTAATCAAAGGGAGTCTGCAAGTATCTCGGATGTGATGAACTATATAGACCTTAGCCACACACATTCACAGCTCACTTCATAGAGTACAAGTATCTTAGAATGATTGAAAGATATAGCAATCAAAGTCCTCTTGGTAGATAGCCCCCCATGAGATTGCTATGTCACCACATGTAAAAGTATACTCAATTTGAGAACGAGCCTTATGGAGATCTAATAGGTTTTCAAAATCTGCATAACCAACTAAATATGACTCGTTGATTGATTGCTTTGAGTATAACATGCCCAAATTTTTAGTTCCATGAAGGTAGCGTAGGACATGTTTTACATCATTTCAATGTCATCAAGTTAGTGCAGAACTAAATCTTGCCAACAAATTGACTACAAATACCATATTAGGAGTCGTTCTAAAATGAAAGGAATGTTGCAAAACTAAAAATATAGAGATAGAAATGAAGAAGAGAATATATGAATGCTAGATAAAAAGTTTCTTAACTTTATTTCTCAATGTACCCAAGACTTCTTTTTATAGGCATCCAAACTTAATGAACCATCAAATACAATATTAAAGGTGGTATATCAATGGGTAGGGGATTTTAGGCTAATGCATTAACACACACTAATTCCTATTTACTTAGAGGTCGTTTGGATGTCGTATTAAGAAAAGAGAGATTGTACTAGAGAATACAGGATAATCCTGGATAGATAGATAAAATCTAAGATTAAATAGAGGATAAAGATAATAACAGTTTTAGTCAAACGTTTGGTAAGTATAGTATTAAGAGTTGGATAATAAATGTCAAATACAATATAATATTTGGTTAGGTAATTTATTCAATGGTATTAAATGAGTGGACTAAAATGCCATCAATCATCTCCAATTTGATCCCTTATAATGATCTAATATTTCAAGGACTATATATCAATAGAATCAAAAATTATGTAAATATTACTTATTATGAATATTTTTAAATAATATTCGAATTAAACAAACATGCTTTAATTGTGTAAAAGTGTATTTTGGATATATGCATTTGGTTATTATTAATGTCGTTATCTATGTAATTTTTATTAAAATAAATAAGAAGGAATGGTCACGTGAATTTTTTTTAGATTGAGGATAAAATTATAAATTAAAGATAGAATACACCTAGCCTATATTACAATACCACATCTCCTGGTAGCATTAAAATAGCTCAATAGTATGGATAGATTGTATTAGAATTATTTGTATAGAATATATATCTAGTTAATCTCATATATAATACGAAATCCTTTTTTGCATCTAAATATAGTATAAATCCGTATCAAAGTGTTTTAATCGAATATGACTCTTTAATACACCCTATTATACAACAAACAAACGACTCCTTAAGGCATTAATTGAAAAGTTAAGGATCATCCACTTTATATACAATGTATATAGAATATNCTATACACAATGTATATAGAATATATTTACAATAGGAAATGATTATAAAAGTAGTGGTTGTTTTATGGATTTTTGGAGTAATTTGGAAGAAACGATAGCTTTTTGGTAATTAAGCATTGTTTATACTCCTACGCTTTCTATCATAGTATACGATTTTCTGCTTCTTTAAGGGCATTTTTGTTCTTTTATGCCCAACATTTTTTTTAGGGTTAATTGTAAATTGTATTCCGAAAGATTGTTCAAATCTTAATTTGTAACTCCAAAGATAAAAAATTTTAATTTGCACCCTTAAAGATAGAAATTTATATCAATGTGTACCCCCAAAGATCAAAAATCTCAATTTGTACCCTCAACGATAGAAATGTGTATCAATGTGCACCCCTAAAGATCAAAAATCTCAATTTGCACCCTCAAATATAGAAATTTGTATCAATGTGCACCTAAAAAGTCATTAGTTTGCTGCCTAAAATTAAATTAATAAATTATACCTAAATCCCCTCACGCTTGTCACTCAATCATTAGGACCTCTTCACATTTAGACTATTACTCCTACATCTCATTACGTTTGTGCACGTATAACACGTAACCCTTTTTAGTTGATACCTGTTAATATAATTGTTAAAAAATATGATTTTATCATAATAAAAAATTATAATTTCATATTACCCTTTATTTTGTGGGTCCGATATACTTTGAAGTTCAAAATCAAGCTGACAATTTAAATGTTCAATAGAATGTAGGTATTTATATAATATTTTTTATATCCAATGCAATATCACTTAAACATAATTATTTGAATGCCCAATTGGGTGGACATTTTAGATTGAGAGTATTTTTATTATGATTTTATAACCGTTAAAAAATATAATTTTATCCTAATAAAAAAATTATAATTTTATTTTACCCTTTATTTTGTGAAAGGGTCGAAATGATTAGGTATAATTTATCAATTTAGTTTCAGGGAACAAATTGACGGCAGTTAGTTTTAGATGCACATTGATACAAATTTCTATCTTTGAGGTGCAAATTGAGATTTTTTATCTTTGGGGGTGCACATTGAAACAAATTTCTATTTTTGAGGGTGTAAATTGAGATTTTTGATCTTTAGGGATGCACATTGATATAACTTTCTATCTTTGAGCGTGCAAATTGAGATTTTTAATCTTTGGGGTGAAAATTGATATTCGAACGATCTTTCGGAGTGTAATTTGTAATTAACCCTTTTTTTTTCTTTTTTTTTTAAAAAAATTTTTGGATGTGTTAGCCAAAAGAACCAATGAAGAAGTTGTGGTCCTTTTTTCTTAGTTTTTAACAGCTCAGTAACTTGAATGCCATCCCACATGCCGCTTATTGATTTTTATCCTCTATTCCTTTCAAGTGTAGGCTAATGTCTCTTTTCGGAAGACGTAGACTCGATATCTTAATAAGGTGGATCCGTCAAGAAGGAGGTGAGTGACTGAAATAGAAAAAAAAATTGAAAGACAGTAGAAATAGTCTCAATTGTCAAACTGTTTATTTAGAAGGCGACTTGGTTACAGTAAAAAAGTATCTCCAAATTTTATTATTTTTATAAATTATTTTTTAACAAAAAAAATTATTATTTTTATGAATAATATATAACTTTGAATACCGTGTAGAGCTGGGAAATGATTAGCCAAAGATGAAGCAATCATATCAATTGACAAGGTTTGAGATTGGTGGATCAGTTTTATACCATTGGTCAGTAATGAAGTCAACTGCAAAATATCAAAATTTTCCGAAATTGTCTTGGATTACCCAAAATACGTAAGGAAAATTTAAGTAAATGTGTAGAGCTAAAATTGGTGATACAGAGTGACAAAGAATTGTAGTCCTAAATTTAATTATGGAGAATTTTAATTGGTGTGTATTTTTTCTGGGTAGAATAGTAAAACCAGCATTACAATTTCCAAACGTATCACGTACTGGCTCTTGGATATTCACATTTCTTTGGATAGAGAAAAACAAAATAATTTTGATGAATTATTTATTAACTGATGGCATTAAACAAACCCAAAAGCCGACAGAAAGAGGTCGGATTGGAAAGGGAATGGAGCCTGTGGGCTTCTAGTGTTTTGTTCATCATACTTACATCTATCCCCTATATTATTATTTAGTATGAAGGCGCTCTGTTTTCTCCACTTCAATTGCTTTATGTATTCACCAATACTAAAAATACTTAGATTGTCTTTTATACCACTTGTCTTGTATGTGTCATCTTTGCTCTTTTAATTTTCATATTTTTTTTTTGTTTTGTTTTGTTTTGTTAAAAAGTGAATTAATTTGCAAACTTTGATTGTCTCCATTAGATTACGATTGAATTGATAAAGCGGTGAAGATTGTTTTAATGGACGGCAATAAAACTATCAAATTCAAGAGGGTCTGCGTCTTCTGTGGAAGCAATCCTGGGCATAGAAAAGTCTTCAGCGATGCTGCTGTTGAGTTAGGGAATGAACTGGTTGGTTTTGTTTGATTGCACCCTCTTTCACTGAATCTTCTTTTTGACCCTCTGTGGTATTTTATTTCTTCCGCAAGTTTAATTATTCGATATCAAAACTAGAACGATAGGGTTATTTTTTCAATCTGGTTCATTATGTATTGGACTGGGACCCTTCCTTTTTGATTACTGGGTTGTTGGCTTTTTGGCTTCTGGTCTTAAAAACGTCAACTTGTCTCTTTGATTTTGAGTTTGTATTGTGGAGTTATTAGGTGGGCGTCAAGTGTGTTGAAGTGGTCTTCTTGGGTTTGACAATGGACTGCGCTTGGGTTCTGGTTTCCAGTTACAAACATTGACTTGTCCCTATGATATTGAAATTGTATTGTGGAGTAGATAGACGAGTGTCAATTGTATTTAACTGGTCTTCTTATGTTTGGCAATGGGACTACATTTGGGTTTTGGTTTCGGTTTGGACATTGACTGTGATTCTGTATTGGCTTTGTGGTTTTGAGGATCAAGTGTTTGATTATTTTTTCCATAATGGGACAGTTTAGTTTTTGTCCTTTGATTATTTTTTCCGTAATGGGACAGTTTGGTTTTTGTCCTTTGATTATTTTTGGGAAATTCTGGTGGGTTGTGTTATCTGATATTATGAATATTGATTGCAGGTGAATAGGAAGCTCGATTTAGTGTATGGTGGTGGAAGCGTTGGGTTGATGGGATTGATTTCCCAAAGAGTACTTGATGGAGGGTGCCATGTCCTTGGGTAACTATGAGATATGCTTTGATCAATATGTACTCTGTTTTGTGTGTTTCACTGGATAATCCTCTTTATCAATGCATTAGTTCTTGATGCTCCTCACTTGCAGGGTTATTCCAAAAGCTCTTGTACCTCTTGAGGTAATGTTTTCATTGCCCAGTATGTCTCATGCGAGAATAACATGTTTTGCTTTTCTTTTCTTAAATTTAGAAATGCGTTATTATCAATATGTTTATAATAGATGGACTGTTAAAGTGGTGATGCTTTCGTGGCTGTATTCTTGAATTGACTTGGTTTATTATTGGTTATTGCTTAAATAGTTTCATTGATTTATTAGAGGGGCTTGAGATTTCGGCCTACAAAGGCACACTGAATTACATTCTGAGTCATTTGTGTTTGCATCAGCATTCTGATTCTTACTATGGATGATTTTGCGCGGAAAGTGACTGAAACTCTATATAATGTTTGAATTGTGTGAAAAATTCCATTTGTCAGATATTTGTAAATTATTAGAACACTTAACTTTGACAGATATCTGGTGAAACTGTTGGTGAAGTTAGAATTGTTTCAGACATGCATGAGCGTAAAGCTGAAATGGCTAGGGAGGCCGATGCTTTTATTGCACTTCCTGGTAAGTCTCGTGACTCTTTTTTCTTCTTTAAAGAAAAAAGCATACATGTGCATGTTGTTATGCTGACCCTTTTGTGTTCTGGATCGTTTTAGGAGGATATGGAACCATGGAAGAGACATTGGAGATGATAACATGGTCACAACTTGGGATTCATAGAAAACCGGTGATTCATCTATTTTTGTTCTGAAAGCTAGTAGATGAAGTGAATTACTAGATGATGTGATGGGCAAATCTCTGTACAGGTTGGTCTGCTAAATGTTGATGGCTACTATAACTCTTTGTTTGCGTTATTCGACAATGGTGTTGAAGAAGGTTTCATCAAGCCAGGTGCTCGGCACATAGTTCTCTCTGCTCCAACTGCCAAAGAGCTTTTAATAAAGATGGAGGTACTGACTTAGCTAACTGAATTTAGTCTTCCAATCCTATTTTTGCTTGAGTTTTGCTTGTCTCCAGTTTGGATTTTATGTGTTTGAAAAGCTAGTGTAAATGCAAAACTTTGCTGTAAAAAGTAATGCTATTGTAATGTAGTGTTTCTTCCATCAATTGGACTAGTTTAAGATAAACAACTTCACTTTATTTTGAGTATAACTTTCAATTAAGTTGAAGGGATTCTTGACAATATAATTGTACAAGAATGTCAACCCTGCCAGAATTATGGATTCTGTCAGCTTATTTGACGAGGTTTCCATTTGAAAAGCAGATAACAAAACAATAAGTTGATAAAAGCTTGGACATTGGGATCTTCCTATGCTCAATGTTTTAGTAGTAGTTTTTTTCAAAATTGTTGAATGTATCCCTTTTCTTTCTGTTGGTACTTTCTTTGTAGACCTATGTCCTATGCAGTGCCTGCTACACATATCTGGCATGGGATTATTCAAATTATTGGATGACAAAAATTTATTTTCCTTACTTTCTGATGGGGAACTATTAGTGATGGAAACTTATGGATTTTATGCATTCTAAGTCTAATTTTATTGCTTATTTTGCAGCAATACACACCTTCCCATGATCATGTTGCCCCTCATGAAAGCTGGCAAATGGAGCAACTTGACAACTATTCTTGGGGACAGAATCCACAATGAATTTCGGCTTTGGTGGTAGGCCTTTCTTTCAAATAGATTCCTGATCTGATTCATCATTGTTTGAAATGTGTATGAGAATCTGTTCAGGTGGGGCCAGATATAATGTATTACTATGTACTATTGTCAATTCTTTGTGGTTTGAATTCTCGTAGATCATCCTTGCTGTTCTGCACTAAAAACTTTTAGTTTTTATGGAATGGTCAATCCATTCACTATTTTGAAGTCATCTTGGCTGTTACCACCTATGAGAGGGCAAAGAACTTTGAAATGCAAAGAGCTAGTAAGAAGCTCTAGAACGTAACATTCTCATGTCAAGTGGGATAGCCTATCAGGGCATTAGCTTGACTACAACTTATAGTTGATTTGACGGCATGTCCTTGAAAGGTTTGGTTCTTTGAAATAAAGATGCTGGATAATAAGTAACTAAAATGGGATCAATCACCGAAGCTGTGCTTGGTGTTTTGCAACAGTAAATAATTTTTATGTTTGTTATATTGTAATTAGTTAAAATAAACATTTGCTCCATCGTGAACAGTTGGCCTTTTTGTCTGTGGGATCACTTTCTTGCAAAATAAACATTTGGAGGGTGGTTAGGCGAAGGAGTTACTTGTGGCTGACTGGGGTTAAGCAAGAAATTGATCCCCCAGAACAAAAGCCCAGCAGACCTTTGGTAGTTTTAGATAGAGGTTGTTCTCTTTCTTTCTGGGCAAAGATAGATACTTCTTGGAAGCTAAATTCCATAAACTTCTGCTTCGCAACCTCAGTTTCCTTTATCTAGTACAAACCTAAAGTGTGGCTAAATAGGTCTAGTTATCCTTGTAGTTGTTTTTATACATTTGGATCCAACTTAAGAGAAGAATAACTTCTTATCAAATCCTCATACAACCTTTGATATTTATCATCTATTAGCCTCGAAGCTGTCAGAGTTTTATGTTTTTGAACAAATTAAGAGTTGCAGTATGCGATGAATTTAGCTGAACCCGCACAACTGAGAAAATTGGCATGTATTTTGGATGTTGGAAGAGTAGTACTGGCTTCAACCTGTGATTAGATATCTATTTGAGAAGGATTTTTTGCACTTAATCTAACTGCTTCTTTAGAACTGTTTTGCTGGAAAACGTATTGTCTGGGTAAGGCTTACTGAGTCACCAACTCCTTTATTTATGTGATGCATCATCACCTACAGTAGTTCAATGTCATGCAACTGATTGAGAATGATATTATTTGTGTATTATTACTGATTTCATTCATAAATACCTTACATAATTTAAGCTTAGGGTTATCAATTGTTGTCCAAGTTATCAAGTGTTGGTTATTTCTGTAAGAGTGTAGTGCCACTATTATTGCTTCACTAAAGAAGCTATAACAGGGCGATTGTGGTGGCTAAAAAGGAGAAATCATTCCTGAGCAAGCTCTTTTTTGTTTTCCTCTTTCTTTTGTTTTTTCCCCCAAAACCATTCCTCTCCATTACTGGGGTCAAAAAAAAGACATTCACATGTTTTTGAATACAGCATAAAAAAAAGAGATGATCATTTTCAGTTCCGATTGTTGAGGGAATTTTTGTTTTTAAAATGCGATCTTTAGACTGAAATTGTAAGCTCTCAAAATTCAATAAGAAATGAAAATTGACTCGTAAATTTTGAAGGTTAAAAATTGGATAATAACTTGACTTCTCCCAAGTCACGGAACTTGTTGAAGGTCCCTTGGGAATGAGATGACCTGGGGTTTCTTTTAGTTATTTTGTTAATTTTAGGATCATGATTTTTACTATTTGTCCATGGTTGATCTGTAGAACTGTTTCTCTCAACTCAACTTATTAGAATCTTTTTCCAAATAGTTAGGGTCAGCTGCCGATTGTGGTCCCTCTGTTTATTTTTTTGTTTTACAACAACAATTAAAACTTTGTGCTCAGAATTTAATGTAGTGGCTAAAGAAAGTCAGTTTTCCTTAAATAAGGTACTCTGGAAGACCTTCCTTTGCCCACATATGGTAGCAGACAAAGGACAGTGCAAGTGGGCCAATTGTTGGTTGGTACTNGTGGTGGTGGGGGGTTAAGGTAGATGAACACTACGCCATAGGTAGCTCCAAGTTGCAAACAGCAGTGCAACGAAGCAAATGACAAATAGCTTCTGTTCTCTTCTTGTATTGGCCTATAGGAACTACTCAAACAGCGCCAATCTTCAGGATTTTCCAAAGAATAGGTCAGGCCTGCCTTAGGGAATCCCCACACCAATACCAAATAATAATGACAAAACATTAAAAAATCTCTTATAACCCTATTCTCAAGTGTTGAATGTAACTTTCAAACATGCCAAATTATTGACATGCAAAAACCTTGAAAATGTAGATGTCATTCTATGATAACAAATTAAAAATACAATCAGGCTTTTTATCCACCTTTATACCATCATCATTAAGGTCTGAGTAGATCAAATAGAATGGAAAGAGTAACGACCCATTCATAAGAAATGTTGCAATACATGGATATGGATGTCGAGTTCAATAGATGCTCTCAAAATTCCATGCCCTCCAATGAGTTAGCGGATGGATTACTGTATGCAACAGACCAATAACGCCAAACAGCTCTTCCTGTTATGCGCAAGCATTTTCAACAGAACTTCAGCAAGCCCAGTTAAGTGCAGCATCTTTCTTGTTATTTAATTCAAGCTCTCTTTAGTGGGAGATGATATCAAATGATGCAAGGTGGAAGTCTGGATAACCGCACTGGGGCTTGGATCCTTTGTTCGAAGTGACGCTGATTGCCTAAGGCTGAAGTTCTTTTCAACAGCACTTTGAAAAAGATGCCGCCATGGCCTTGGAAGGTACCGCACCACCCGAGTTGAACTTACCAGTAGAATCACACCAATAATAATGAATAACCTGCAATTGGAGGCTTTGATCTGAATCAGAGTCATAAAATAGTAGAATCTGAGACTCAGACCCTCATGTCCCTCACATACAACATAACCTAGGGAAGTGCTAAAAATAATTCAACAGAGTAAAATAGAACCCATGAAAGGTACTACAAAAATGTTACCACTAATTGATCTGGACCACATACTACTCTCTCTCTCTCTCTCACAGAAACACTCTCAGAGGCAAACTCTCATAAGCAGATTGTAGTGAAATGTCTAACCATTGATGCTCTAGCATGAACAATCCTTACATGGGGTCTTTCACTGTTGCATGTCATGTGTCCAGCACATGGTATTTGTGTTAATATTCGGGGGCCAGAGACAAGAAGAAAATTGTTCTAAAACGTAGGTGAAACAGGGCAACTAAATTTACATTACCATCCAAGCAAAAGTGAGAGACGAGCCATTGGGGCTGACGGCAATCTTTCACCCAGGGCAAGCATACCAGCAAGAACACCAGTCACGATTGATGCCACAGCAGCACATGTAGACACTACAATTGCCCTCCCATGCTTCAAGCCTCTTGTCTGTTTCAAATCAATAACACAATTATTGGCCGCAATGGTCTCTGATTAGTTAACATATGAGGCCATATTCAGTAGCCTATTTTATAACAATAGCCTCAAATAGGAAAGTTACACCAAAGTAGCTTCTTGTAAAAAGGTGCAGAGATGGACATTGGTATGTACATAAATTGGAGTATCCAACACCATGCCTTCATACATATATTGATATTGTAATACAAGTTAAACATGCATACATGTTTAGCAACATTTCCAAAAGGTACAAACCACACGTGGCCTTCATATTATGCTACATCAGCATAACAAATATTAGTGCTGGAAGTACCTGGTAAACAAATCCTGAAGCACTACAACATACACTGGTTGAAATGCAAATGGGAACCAGCAACTTGGAGAAGCCCTGCTCCAAAAATAGAAATCCCATCTTTGATAATACAGATGCCATCCTACAATTTTGTTTTGAACATTTTCACTAAAAAACAGATTTGAAGAAACTACAATAAATAAATAAATAAAAGGACAAAAAAAGATCTAAAAAGAACAACCAAAAAAAAAAAAGAGAAATTGTAATGCTACTGCAATTCACAAGTAGAATATCTTAAAAACAGCAACACCTGTTTTCCACTTAAGCTTCAAGACTTGACTGTGTCAACTGGAAAAAAAATATGTTATGTTCACCACTTTAACTAGGAAGATAGATCCACAACTCTATTTGTATTTATATCAGAACCTAAACATGCACTAGATAACTGTTTCTGCCATTGCACAAATTTACAAGACCAAACAACGAGAACAGCAACCTACGTTTAGGAAGACTGAACACTTTTCTCCCCCAATGTTTTTTATCTTCTGAAATTTATCTCGGATTACATTTTATCCTATGATAGGATGGTGCAGTTGAAAGCTTCATGTAATTGTAATTGGACAAACATTCCTTGTGCTTTCACTTGTAACTCCTCCATCCAAGTTATAGGCGATAAACTTCAGTACTAGGTATAGTATATCATTTACACTACAGACGACCAATCAAATAATGATAACTAGAAAATCAAATTTCACCATCAACATTTGGATATTAGTCCCACAACAAATGCTCTTCAATGATATCCCTCTCGTTATTATAGAATTACACCATTATATGCCTTCACATCATCCTTTAATCATCTCTGAGAAAATGAAATGAGGAAATAGAAAAATGGCAGGAGTTAAAATTCATCTTCCACATGCCTTATGCATGCCATTCCTCTGAAATTTTCGAAAACTAATTAGGAAGAACAAGCAAAATAAAGTAGTTCCACCCCAAAAAAAGTGGCTACACCCAGAATCCTAGTTCACCAAATGCAGCTGGTGAGAATTCCTCCACTTGAGTCCTAAGCAAAAAGTCAAAACATGGTTCTCAACAAGAAATTTGTTACCATCAATCTCCTCCAGATTGAAAATTGGTCCTAGAAAGCAGACTGATCTTCCTCTTATATATTGAATCCCTCATCCGTGTTCCACACATGTAGTGCTAAAGTAAGTCTTTCCGGCACGTAAAAGCATGAAGCAAACAAGCAATGTGTATAAAAATTATAGGGAAAAGGTAAAAGCATTATTACAATTGGGTCCAGAAACAATCATCAAGATACCATGTTTCCTTTCCATCGTTAAGAGACCATGAAGCATGTTAAGAATAGGCTATAGCAGATAAAAAAATGACTTCAAACACCACATATGCACATTGCTAGAGTTAGAACTTAGGGACTGGATTCACCGAGTTGCGCAATTCTGGCACGACAGAACACGTACACTCTCAAGAATGTGATGTATCCTTAAGACACCTTAGATATGTTTCGGATGCTCTTTTATCTTTGTCCATAATTAAATGATAAAATTTTAATTTCGTACACGTGTCGAACACTTTTTTAGACTGTCTACTACTACTACTCAAAAATAAATGTGTTAAACATGAGATTAACAAAACTTAAAAATTTGACTACTAAATATCTTATACTATGAGAGTATATAATTACCAAAACTAGACATGTTAAAATTGTACTTAAAATATAATAATAAAAACAAAAGATACATAAAAGATTTAGAAAAAAACAATTGAGAAAATGAGAGTAATCATTTTAAATTATATGTTTGGTACATTTCTACGAAAAAATTGATGATTATTGATAATTTTGATATTAGTTTATAAATTCACAATAGGTAACTAGATATTACATTTTCTTATTATAAAGTACCGATTTTTTTATGAATAATATATCATTATTAATAAATTTGTGATAAATTGTATAATTTTATTCATAAAATACAATTATTTATAGTGTGTCTCCAACGTGACTATATTGTGTCATATCCATATCTCGTGTCTCATGTCTGTGCTTCTTAGGACGCAACTATAAATCAATTAGAATTAATATATCATCAAACAATACCAGATACAGAGCATAAGGTCTATATTCATATTTACCTAAAGCTGGTCCGAGAACCAATGGTATCCTAAGCTTGTAGAACCTTTCTTCGGAGAAAACTAACACCATTCCCAAGCTATAAATGATGAAACATTCAAACCTTTCATTTTCTTATTGTTCCATTCATGTATTTGATAATGGTCTTGTTGAACACTCCATTTATTATCAATGACAACAAGCATTTTATTTAACAGAACCTTCATGTTACAAGCTATTTCCTCCCTTGAAAACTCCAAAAAGTGGTCCTCCCTATCGACACTGGGGTGTCCTGATCATCAAAGCATCCTATCATCCACAGTTTCGGTTAGCTTTTTGGGTCGATCAACCACCGGAATTTCTGTGTAGTGAAGTGCTCATAGAAGTCTTTGTATATGGGGTCATAATTTTACAAATCTAATTATGGACTATCCATTGTTTAAAAGTGAAAAAAAAAAAAAAAAAGGTCACAAACCGTATGAGTTGCTAAGTTCAGCAGTGTGTATCCCTGTCAGTTTTGACTGACAATAAAGCAATTGTATGTTCATGTTGCTTAAATTAGTGAAACCAAAAGATAGAAAAAGGAATATTTAGCACGGCACAAGAACCCCCTCCCCCCAAAAGAAAAACATGGAGAGAGAAAGAAAGAGGAAAAGAACAAACTCAAGCAATCCACATATAACAGTTTAGGACAGGACAGTACCCAAATAAAATTCCAGATTCCAAGCCGTATATGATTTCCTCGACAACTTCAGATTGCATCTGTATTGTGAAAGAATGACACAAATTTCAAATCAAGTTCCCAGAGATAATTTAGTATAACCATACATGTTATTAGGGAGAAAGAAATGAAATTACCAGCTCCAGTTCTCTTCGCTGATGTCTATAGATTCGAAGCCATCCATTAAGGAGTACCTAGATTCAGAAGAGTACTGATGGAATCATATAATTGAAACAGAATCGTAAAGAAATAGCATTCTCTTTAACATAGGCTCCCTAACAGAAAGATGAGTAAATTTAGAATTCCAGGAAACTACCAGGAGAAACATGGTATAAAACTGGAGAATGAATGCACAGGGTTATGCCACTGCAGGTATACCAAGATCACTAATAGACAAAAACTCCCAGATTTCTTAGAATGTTACTACACCATCCACTCTACTTGATTTTCTGATTAACAGGACTTGGGTAACAAGGTGACACATTACACAATGCTAAGATAGATCCTAGAACCAGTGTAGTCATGATAATATAGAAAAAGGTCTACCCAATAATAGATGCACAGGCACATAATAGAAAGTGTACTATAATATAGCCATGTTTAGAGAGAAACTTTTGAAAGCCCACGTTCCACATATTGCAAATTTATTGGCACCCATACCTCCTGCCAATATAACACTGGTTTAGGCATATAGAGCTGTATGGGATTCTCAATATACTAAATAATTGGGCAGAACTAAATCACATGTTTCCCCAGTATCATACGACTCAAATAAAATTTAAAAACAGTCATAGACCCTTATGCAACAGGTTATGTTATGTTATGCTAGGATGTAACACTTGAAGGTATTTTTTTTTGGTACTTTCCAGTTATATATATTGGGATGTAACTGTGAAACCCTAATACATGCTACTCTCTTTCTCCTAATCTCTTCTTTGTTCTTCTCCTTCTATTCTCTTCCTCACCCTAATTACATCACATTCTAACTTGGTATCAGAACATCAATCTAGATTTAAACGTTGGATATCAGAGATCGTCGAAAAAACTCATTGCTGACAGTCTGGCAGCTGACATCAGCATCTGTCAGGCTGACATCAACATCCAACTTGGTCAGAAAAATTTGAAATTTCATGGGTAGATTCGACTCTTCATGCTGAGATTTATGGGTATTTTTTGGAACTTTTTGAAGTCATTTGATTGGCCCTTCGATTTTTCATATGTTTTTGGCTTTTTTTCGGCTTCAAGCTTCAATCTGGAAAATCTGAGCATTCCAGAGGCTATTTCTTGTTCGATCTTTGTGTGTGAGGTGTGACTAGTGTTCTTCTACAATGTCCATGCAGTTTGGTTGTGTTTGGATTGGATTTATTGGGGTTTTTAGCCAATTTTGACCACCCAGATTTGGTACTGTAGCTGCTGTTTTGGCTCAGATCTGGTACTGTAACTGCTGTTTTGGCTTGGATCTGGTACTGTTTTGGCTTGAAATTGCTACTGCCTGTTGCACAGATTTCTCCTTGTGCTGGTTGAGGTAGTTTATGTTGTGGGCCAAATTTTTGGCTCGACTCATTGACTGTTGTTTGTGTTAATCCTACCGTGTGGACATGTCAAAAGGAAGTGTGACCCCTACTAGTACCGTAGAAAGTACCTGAGGAAGTGAGTCGAGCCATTTAGGTACTCTCGCAAAAAACCCCTCCTTTCAAATTAGTCTAGAGAAGTTGGATGGGCACAATTATTTGGCATCATTAGGGATTTGCTTGTTATTCGTCCAAGCTTTTTCTTTAGATGGATATTTGACTGGGGAGACTAAGAAGCCTAGTGAATCAGATTCCTCACTCGGTGGACATCAAAAAAATGCATTTTTTCAGTCTTGGTTGCTTAAGTCAATGCAACCTTCTCTTAGTTGTGGTTTTCTGTTGCTTGATATAGCTCATAAGATTTGGACTACCGTAGCACATACATATTCTTAGAAGGGTAATGATGCTACAGCGTATGATCTCCGGAAGAAAGTCCATGAGACTAACTAGAAAGATAAAACCCTTGCAGTATATTATGCAGAGTTGACTACCTTATGGCAGGAGTTTGACTACTACCAGAGTTTTCAGGCAAACTTTGCAAATGCTTCTGTGCAAAATTTCAGCAAATGATTGAGAAGGATTGTGTGTATGATTTTCTTCCTGGTCCTAACATTATGTATGATTAGATTTGGGTTTAGATTTTAGGCCGTAATCCATTTCCTAACCTACGAGAGGTCTATGCTCATTGTCAACTAGAGGATTACTATACTTCATGCACCAATTCAGGAGCGGTCTATGTTAGCTGTGTTTCCTCATCGCGACTTGAGTTCAGCTCTATCCAAATCTACTGAGCCAAGTGGTTCTGTTGCGTGACTATTGTGGGAAAACCAAACATACTAGGGAGTTTTACTGGAAACTGACTGGATGTCCTACACGTGGCCAATGGAGTAATGTGTGATCTCATGCACACATGACTAAAGCTTCAGAGTCTCCATCCTAGTTGACTACCTCTAATTTCTCTCAAGATGAGATGCAGACTCTTAGGCGATTGATGGCTCAGCTTGTTGTTTCCTCTACTTCAACTTCTAACCACACTTCTTCCTCCAACTTTGCTCATACAAGTACATCTGCTAGTGTGTTTACTGCTTCATCCTCACATACTCCTTGGATAATAGATTCTAGACACAGACTATATGACAANCTCTCTTTAGTGGGAGATGATATCAAATGATGCAAGGTGGAAGTCTGGATAACCGCACTGGGGCTTGGATCCTTTGTTCGAAGTGACGCTGATTGCCTAAGGCTGAAGTTCTTTTCAACAGCACTTTGAAAAAGATGCCGCCATGGCCTTGGAAGGTACCGCACCACCCGAGTTGAACTTACCAGTAGAATCACACCAATAATAATGAATAACCTGCAATTGGAGGCTTTGATCTGAATCAGAGTCATAAAATAGTAGAATCTGAGACTCAGACCCTCATGTCCCTCACATACAACATAACCTAGGGAAGTGCTAAAAATAATTCAACAGAGTAAAATAGAACCCATGAAAGGTACTACAAAAATGTTACCACTAATTGATCTGGACCACATACTACTCTCTCTCTCTCTCTCACAGAAACACTCTCAGAGGCAAACTCTCATAAGCAGATTGTAGTGAAATGTCTAACCATTGATGCTCTAGCATGAACAATCCTTACATGGGGTCTTTCACTGTTGCATGTCATGTGTCCAGCACATGGTATTTGTGTTAATATTCGGGGGCCAGAGACAAGAAGAAAATTGTTCTAAAACGTAGGTGAAACAGGGCAACTAAATTTACATTACCATCCAAGCAAAAGTGAGAGACGAGCCATTGGGGCTGACGGCAATCTTTCACCCAGGGCAAGCATACCAGCAAGAACACCAGTCACGATTGATGCCACAGCAGCACATGTAGACACTACAATTGCCCTCCCATGCTTCAAGCCTCTTGTCTGTTTCAAATCAATAACACAATTATTGGCCGCAATGGTCTCTGATTAGTTAACATATGAGGCCATATTCAGTAGCCTATTTTATAACAATAGCCTCAAATAGGAAAGTTACACCAAAGTAGCTTCTTGTAAAAAGGTGCAGAGATGGACATTGGTATGTACATAAATTGGAGTATCCAACACCATGCCTTCATACATATATTGATATTGTAATACAAGTTAAACATGCATACATGTTTAGCAACATTTCCAAAAGGTACAAACCACACGTGGCCTTCATATTATGCTACATCAGCATAACAAATATTAGTGCTGGAAGTACCTGGTAAACAAATCCTGAAGCACTACAACATACACTGGTTGAAATGCANCACAAACCACACGTGGCCTTCATATTATGCTACATCAGCATAACAAATATTAGTGTTGGAAGTACCTGGTAAACAAATCCTGAAGCACTACAACATACACTGGTTGAAATGCAAATGGGAACCAGCAACTTGGAGAAGCCCTGCTCCAAAAATAGAAATCCCATCTTTGATAATACAGATGCCATCCTACAATTTTGTTTTGAACATTTTCACTAAAAAACAGATTTGAAGAAACTACAATAAATAAATAAATAAAAGGACAAAAAAAGATCTAAAAAGAACAACCAAAAAAAAAAAAGAGAAATTGTAATGCTACTGCAATTCACAAGTAGAATATCTTAAAAACAGCAACACCTGTTTTCCACTTAAGCTTCAAGACTTGACTGTGTCAACTGGAAAAAAAATATGTTATGTTCACCACTTTAACTAGGAAGATAGATCCACAACTCTATTTGTATTTATATCAGAACCTAAACATGCACTAGATAACTGTTTCTGCCATTGCACAAATTTACAAGACCAAACAACGAGAACAGCAACCTACGTTTAGGAAGACTGAACACTTTTCTCCCCCAATGTTTTTTATCTTCTGAAATTTATCTCGGATTACATTTTATCCTATGATAGGATGGTGCAGTTGAAAGCTTCATGTAATTGTAATTGGACAAACATTCCTTGTGCTTTCACTTGTAACTCCTCCATCCAAGTTATAGGCGATAAACTTCAGTACTAGGTATAGTATATCATTTACACTACAGACGACCAATCAAATAATGATAACTAGAAAATCAAATTTCACCATCAACATTTGGATATTAGTCCCACAACAAATGCTCTTCAATGATATCCCTCTCGTTATTATAGAATTACACCATTATATGCCTTCACATCATCCTTTAATCATCTCTGAGAAAATGAAATGAGGAAATAGAAAAATGGCAGGAGTTAAAATTCATCTTCCACATGCCTTATGCATGCCATTCCTCTGAAATTTTCGAAAACTAATTAGGAAGAACAAGCAAAATAAAGTAGTTCCACCCCAAAAAAAGTGGCTCCACCCAGAATCCTAGTTCACCAAATGCAGCTGGTGAGACTTCCTCCACTTGAGTCCTAAGCAAAAAGTCAAAACATGGTTCTCAACAAGAAATTTGTTACCATCAATCTCCTCCAGATTGAAAATTGGTCCTAGAAAGCNACACCCAGAATCCTAGTTCACCAAATGCAGCTGGTGAGAATTCCTCCACTTGAGTCCTAAGCAAAAAGTCAAAACATGGTTCGCAACAAGAAATTTGTTACCATCAATCTCCTCCAGATTGAAAATTGGTCCTAGAAAGCAGACTGATCTTCCTCTTATATATTGAATCCCTCATCCGTGTTCCACACATGTAGTGCTAAAGTAAGTCTTTCCGGCACGTAAAAGCATGAAGCAAACAAGCAATGTGTATAAAAATTATAGGGAAAAGGTAAAAGCATTATTACAATTGGGTCCAGAAACAATCATCAAGATACCATGTTTCCTTTCCATCGTTAAGAGACCATGAAGCATGTTAAGAATAGGCTATAGCAGATAAAAAAATGACTTCAAACACCACATATGCACATTGCTAGAGTTAGAACTTAGGGACTGGATTCACCGAGTTGCGCAATTCTGGCACGACAGAACACGTACACTCTCAAGAATGTGATGTATCCTTAAGACACCTTAGATATGTTTCGGATGCTCTTTTATCTTTGTCCATAATTAAATGATAAAATTTTAATTTCGTACACGTGTCGAACACTTTTTTAGACTGTCTACTACTACTACTCAAAAATAAATGTGTTAAACATGAGATTAACAAAACTTAAAAATTTGACTACTAAATATCTTATACTATGAGAGTATATAATTACCAAAACTAGACATGTTAAAATTGTACTTAAAATATAATAATAAAAACAAAAGATACATAAAAGATTTAGAAAAAAACAATTGAGAAAATGAGAGTAATCATTTTAAATTTTATGTTTGGTACATTTCTACGAAAAAATTGATGATTATTGATAATTTTGATATTAGTTTATAAATTCACAATAGGTAACTAGATATTACATTTTCTTATTATAAAGTACCGATTTTTTTATGAATAATATATCATTATTAATAAATTTGTGATAAATTGTATAATTTTATTCATAAAATACAATTATTTATAGTGTGTCTCCAACGTGACTATATTGTGTCATATCCATATCTCGTGTCTCATGTCTNAATTATAGGGAAAAGGTAAAAGCATTATTACAATTGGGTCCAGAAACAATCATCAAGATACCATGTTTCCTTTCCATCGTTAAGAGACCATGAAGCATGTTAAGAATAGGCTATAGCAGATAAAAAAATGACTTCAAACACCACATATGCACATTGCTAGAGTTAGAACTTAGGGACTGGATTCACCGAGTTGCGCAATTCTGGCACGACAGAACACGTACACTCTCAAGAATGTGATGTATCCTTAAGACACCTTAGATATGTTTCGGATGCTCTTTTATCTTTGTCCATAATTAAATGATAAAATTTTAATTTCGTACACGTGTCGAACACTTTTTTAGACTGTCTACTACTACTACTCAAAAATAAATGTGTTAAACATGAGATTAACAAAACTTAAAAATTTGACTACTAAATATCTTATACTATGAGAGTATATAATTACCAAAACTAGACATGTTAAAATTGTACTTAAAATATAATAATAAAAACAAAAGATACATAAAAGATTTAGAAAAAAACAATTGAGAAAATGAGAGTAATCATTTTAAATTATATGTTTGGTACATTTCTACGAAAAAATTGATGATTATTGATAATTTTGATATTAGTTTATAAATTCACAATAGGTAACTAGATATTACATTTTCTTATTATAAAGTACCGATTTTTTTATGAATAATATATCATTATTAATAAATTTGTGATAAATTGTATAATTTTATTCATAAAATACAATTATTTATAGTGTGTCTCCAACGTGACTATATTGTGTCATATCCATATCTCGTGTCTCATGTCTCATGTCTGTGCTTCTTAGGACGCAACTATAAATCAATTAGAATTAATATATCATCAAACAATACCAGATACAGAGCATAAGGTCTATATTCATATTTACCTAAAGCTGGTCCGAGAACCAATGGTATCCTAAGCTTGTAGAACCTTTCTTCGGAGAAAACTAACACCATTCCCAAGCTATAAATGATGAAACATTCAAACCTTTCATTTTCTTATTGTTCCATTCATGTATTTGATAATGGTCTTGTTGAACACTCCATTTATTATCAATGACAACAAGCATTTTATTTAACAGAACCTTCATGTTACAAGCTATTTCCTCCCTTGAAAACTCCAAAAAGTGGTCCTCCCTATCGACACTGGGGTGTCCTGATCATCAAAGCATCCTATCATCCACAGTTTCGGTTAGCTTTTTGGGTCGATCAACCACCGGAATTTCTGTGTAGTGAAGTGCTCATAGAAGTCTTTGTATATGGGGTCATAATTTTACAAATCTAATTATGGACTATCCATTGTTTAAAAGTGAAAAAAAAAAAAAAAAAGGTCACAAACCGTATGAGTTGCTAAGTTCAGCAGTGTGTATCCCTGTCAGTTTTGACTGACAATAAAGCAATTGTATGTTCATGTTGCTTAAATTAGTGAAACCAAAAGATAGAAAAAGGAATATTTAGCACGGCACAAGAACCCCCTCCCCCCAAAAGAAAAACATAGAGAGAGAAAGAAAGAGGAAAACAACAAACTCAAGCAATCCACATATAACAGTTTAGGACAGGACAGTACCCAAATAAAATTCCAGATTCCAAGCCGTATATGATTTCCTCGACAACTTCAGATTGCATCTGTATTGTGAAAGAATGACACAAATTTCAAATCAAGTTCCCAGAGATAATTTAGTATAACCATACATGTTATTAGGGAGAAAGAAATGAAATTACCAGCTCCAGTTCTCTTCGCTGATGTCTATAGATTCGAAGCCATCCATTAAGGAGTACCTAGATTCAGAAGAGTACTGATGGAATCATATAATTGAAACAGAATCAGAAAGAAATAGCATTCTCTTTAACATAGGCTCCCTAACAGAAAGATGAGTAAATTTAGAATTCCAGGAAACTACCAGGAGAAACATGGTATAAAACTGGAGAATGAATGCACAGGGTTATGCCACTGCGGGTATACCAAGATCACTAATAGACAAAAACTCCCAGATTTCTTAGAATGTTACTACACCATCCACTCTACTTGATTTTCTGATTAACAGGACTTGGGTAACAAGGTGACACATTACACAATGCTAAGATAGATCCTAGAACCAGTGTAGTCATGATAATATAGAAAAAGGTCTACCCAATAATAGATGCACAGGCACATAATAGAAAGTGTACTACAATATAGCCATGTTTAGAGAGAAACTTTTGAAAGCCCACGTTCCACATATTGCAAATTTATTGGCACCCATACCTCCTGCCAATATAACACTGGTTTAGGCATATAGAGCTGTATGGGATTCTCAATATACTAAATAATTGGGCAGAACTAAATCACATGTTTCCCCAGTATCNCAATATAGCCATGTTTAGAGAGAAACTTTTGAAAGCCCACGTTCCACATATTGCAAATTTATTGGCACCCATACCTCGTGCCAATATAACACTGGTTTAGGCATATAGAGCTGTATCGGATTCTCAATATACTAAATAATTGGGCAGAACTAAATCACATGTTTCCCCAGTATCATACGACTCAAATAAAATTTAAAAACAGTCATAGACCCTTATGCAACAGGTTATGTTATGTTATGCTAGGATGTAACACTTGAAGGTATTTTTTTTTGGTACTTTCCAGTTATATATATTGGGATGTAACTGTGAAACCCTAATACATGCTACTCTCTTTCTCCTAATCTCTTCTTTGTTCTTCTCCTTCTATTCTCTTCCTCACNGGTACTTTCCAGTTATATATATTGGGATGTAACTGTGTAACCCTAATACACGCTACTCTCTTTCTCCTAATCTCTTCTTTGTTCTTCTCCTTCTATTCTCTTCCTCACCCTAATTACATCACATTCTAACTTGGTATCAGAACATCAATCTAGATTTAAACGTTGGATATCAGAGATCGTCGAAAAAACTCATT